TAAGTAGAATGACATGTTCAGGACTTATATCAACCCCTTTTCCTACCTACAATATATTTTCGCAGTCATTTCGGTGTTCCAAAGCTTGAAAAATACCAGAGATAAACGCTTCAGCAAATATTTCTTGGTCCATTCGATGCGAGGACCTTCTTTAAAATAAATTCTTCACGAAGGCGGCATATACATTATATTACCATTCATCCTTTCGCTGAGGCTTACATCTTGTACCTATACAAATGCAACTTTTATTTATGCATTCCAATTAAGACCAGATGAAACTCCTTATTCATTATGCATCGTAACTCCCAAACGCGAGAAGCTATTCTTCTGTTATATCATCCTTCTTCTTTTGCTGACGGATAGTCAAACGGATGTAGAGAGCCTTTAATCTAAATCTGGAATATTTAAAACAATATATTAATTATATGCACTACTAATAGGTGCTATTGCAGAACCAAAGGAACGACTGTTTCGATCAGATTCTATTATCCTGGACAGTTTGGATTTCTTCTCTTTCTTTTTTTCTTCATGATGTAAACATCCTATAGCTTTGGTTTAGGGAACAGATGATGACGCCATATATGTTCCTTCCTTCTTCTCTTTTTTTTTTTTTCGTCTTTTCCTTTAATACAATAATCGGGACTGTAATGCCGTCTTCTTCATTACTGGGTTGTTATTTGTTAAGAATCCTCTGGTGATTTCCCTCCAGGTAAAAATCTGCCATTGCGGCGGTTCAGAATAAAATATATACGAATAATAAAACCATCAAGGCCATTTATACGAGTTTAGGAGATATTACATACACAGTATGGTAAATTTAACCAAAGAAGATGAAGCATACTATCATTATTGTTCTCTGAATTCAGCGCTGTATGGCTCATTTATTTGTGTATATTGATTCCGCCTGTCTTATCCGCTTCATCTTTACTTCAAACTTCAAGGAATCCTCACTTGTATTACACAGCTTCAAAACATCACTTCCATTTTAATCAGCTGTTTTATAAGCGCAATAAAACATATCACCATGTAAAGAAATTAATTTTTCAAATCCTTACCACAATTAAGGGGTAAAATACAAAATCCCCCCTCAGAAAGTTCAAAAGAGATAATCGTAGAATTTTATTCGTAGCAGGCTATGTATATCATGTACGTATAAATGCTTCAGAAGAAAGGAGAAAAAATTATTACACTTTAGATCATCGGATGATAAGTCTCATATCACGATTTAAGAAAACCAGAATTGACCAACTTTACACATCAATTTAATTCCCTGTTGTGTTCAAACTTCGTGCAGGTCATATATTTCTTCTTCAATATAAGAATACTTTCTCATGTCACAAGGTACAGTCACCATGGCTACGGGGCCTCTATCAATGTTGACACGCTGCTGTATAATGAACTTTGCCCGTTTTTTCAATAAAGCTGGAGCTAATCAAATATATGCATATATAAGCAGATACATACAAGAATAATTCCGCTTTTTCGTGTTAACAGCTTATATATGTATATATATGCGTACATGCTGCTTAGCCTGTCTCCCGCAACCATCATCCGTCTGATTCCACGATCAAGTGGCCTGACTTCAATACACATTTATTTAACTCACTTCCCTCCTTACTAAGTGACTTATTTATAAATATGGTAAACGCTTGTTTGGCCAAATTTATGAAAGGGTTAGGTTTCAACTGTGGCAGATGATCCATTATGACTACTAGAACAACAGCCTCTTGTGATACTCCTACATAGTTCCCATTGCTGTTTGAATAGTATGATTGCTGTCTGCCATTTGCCCCTCCTAAATGTGTGCCTCCACGCTATACAGACCTGTTAATCTTCCCAAATAATATGATAAATAGTCCTTCAACGTGTGCATCCCCTTTTTTGCATCCTGGTCCAAATTTATCCTTCTCTCAAGCACGGCCATTCTGAATAAATTATTATTCACCGAATTCATTATTTCATTTATATGTTCTTCTTTAAAGCTGTGGAGAACGATGTAGGATTCTACACTTAACTGAGGGTGGGTCGTACCAGTT